AATTCAATTGCAAGTAACTCGTTAAAGAGCTTCAAGTAGTTTCCAAATATAACACGTCTCACACTACTGTAAAAAATATCACGCATCACCTGAGATTGCATCTGAGTCGGATTAGTTTTATTACCACTGCCACAGCTACCACATGTAACTTGTGGTTTTTTTCTTATTTGCAGAATCTATGTCTGCTATCATTCTGCAACTTCATACACTGGTACACATCAGTCCACCAGCTTTCCCTACTCCTTGACAAAGAATTCCTTTGATTTGTCATGAAACGCCTTTCCTGATGCACCGAGCAGAACGAAATATGAAAAGAGTGAGGGAAAAAGAGACATCACGATATCGCGCTGTGTTGTGTTGCTTTTTCCTCCTTTTATACAAAAGATGCCTAGCGAATCGTGACGCCAGATCGGTCCGTAAACATGCGAGACGCAATGCCCATAGCTTGCAGCTCCTGGAACAGAAGTTTGGCGGCATACGGAATATGAATTTGCGCGATCTTGGTCTTGTTTCGGCAAGGGCGGCATTCGAAGTTCTGCGATCCAAGTTGACTAAAGGACAATATGTCAGTTAAAAGAACATAGTCCAACAAGAGGTAACTATGACTTACGCGACTGGAGTCATGAGGCCACAGATCTCGCAGATGTGAACTCTGAAAGGATCCGAAACCTCAAACAACCGCTCCTTCAAGAAAGCCGCGGCGCCGTGTGCAATCATGCAATCACGTTCCATTTCTCCGAAACGGAGACCACCGTCACGAGCCCTACCTTCAACAGGTTGGCGGGTCATGATCTGGACTGGTCCACGCGCACGGGCATGGATCTTGTCGTCTACCATGTGTCGAAGACGTTGGTAGTATGTAGGTCCGAAAAAGACCTGGGCTCGTAGTTTACGACCCGTGTGTCCATGGTACAGAATCTCAAAACCACGAGACTGGTAACCATGTTCTCGCAGCAGACTCGACACAGAGTCTACTGTGACATCCGTGAATGGTGTTGCATCGCCTTCCATCCCCTTGAGAGTGGCGACTTTCGACAAGAGACATTCAATCAAATGGGCGATTGTCATACGTGACGGAATGGCATGGGGATTGATGATGATGTCAGGCGTTAGGCCTTCACGCGTGAACGGCATATCCTCCGTTCGGCACGTCAGTCCAATTGTACCTTTCTGTCCATGACGCGATGCAAATTTATCACCAATTTGAGGGATCTTCGTCGTCCGCACTCGCACTTTGCAGTATCGCAGGCCGTCGGCATTGGTGGTGAGGATCGCTTGATCGATAATACCACTTTCTGTGCTACGCAGAGGCGTAGATGCATCTCGTTTAACATGAACCTTGAGACGTTGTCCCAACTCTTCATTATCTGGGCTGATAGGTGCCGTCTTTCCGATAATGATATCTTCTCCCGAAACACGAATACCAGGAGCGATAATTCCGTCGTCATCGAGCTTGTCATATGTGCCTTGCTTGAGACGAAGCGTGTCGGAACGGAAGGGCTTCTCAAACTGCTCAACCGTGTTAATACCAACTCGCTTCTCGGAATCCGAGTATGAACGGAAGAAGAGACTTCGGAACAAGCCTCGGTCGATGCTGCTTTGGTTCATGATGACGGAATCTTCTTGGTTGTAACCAGAGTAACAAGCGATGGCCACAATTGCGTTTTGACCGGCTGGCAACTCTCGGAATTTCAAGTATTCCATAGATCGTGTCGTTCCCAGCGGCTTCTGAGGGTAGTAGAGAATATTTGCCATCGTATCCATACGACGCGAGTAGTTTGTGAGGAAGAAACCCATAGCTTGTTTACCCATGGCAGATTGGTAAGTGTTACGAGGAGACTAGAACAGAGATTAGCAAGCGCAACACGCTTACAGAGCCAAAATGACATACCTGATTATGATCGGGGAATGGAATGATGCTGGCACAGATACCAAGAAGCATGCTGGGATGAATCTCACAGTGAGTGTACATGTGTGTTGTAGGGTTCATCTTGGTCTTCAATCGTTTGTTAGGGGCGTCGGTCAGATCGTCCTCAACTACCTGACCCAGCTTAGCCAGACGGTAGTTCTCCAAGTCCTCTGGGGTCATGCAAATCATGGCGGTCTCTTCCTCCTCGGCATCGAGATACTCAATTGCACCGGCATTAACGAGACCTTGCCATCCGAAGAACTGGTCACTTCCAGGCTCAAGATCACTGTCCGCCTCCAGCCGTCGTACCAGATCTTTGGTCAGTGCCAGCGTGCCCCTGTTCGTATCGAGACCGTCCTCTTGTTCAACAACAAACAGAGGTCGCATGACGCGGCCGGCATCTGAGAAGATCTTGAACTCGCGATCACGAATATCACGCACCAATGATACTTCAGCCGGGATCTGGTTAGTCCGACGCAGCTGCTGGATATCTTTGACGAGCGCCTTCGGGTCATGATGCACACCAATCCATGAGCCATTGAGGAAGATCTTGGTTGCATTCGGATATCTCTGAGGCTCGTACTCCTCTAAGAGACCCATGTCTCGACGCATCATATAGTCAATAATGGGCTCTGTCGATGTACCCACACTGACTGAGCACATCAAGGACAAATTCTTCACCAGACCACAAGCTTGTCCTTCGGGAGTTTCTGCAGGGCACACCAAGCCCCAGTGGGTATTGTGAAGCTGGCGGGGTTTAGCAAGCTTGCCATCACGGCCCACGGGAGTATTTGTTCTTCGCAAATGTGATAGCGTAGAGGCAAAAGTATATCGGTTGAGCACTTGGGACACACCGGCCGTCGAACTCATTGCCTTCTTCTGGTCCCCCCAGTTACCTGTGGCAAGAGAATACTTTAGACCGCTAGTGATGATGTTGGACTTGACCGCAAGAGCAATATTAAATTGCTTTCCCTGCTCGATGCTCCTCTTAAGGTGACCTAAGACCTCCTGTGTCATACGTCGAGCAATGTTGCGGAAAAGCTTGGCGAGAAGGGGACCGGCAAGGTCGAGTCGCTTCTTGCCAAAGTGATCACGATCATCCGTGTCACGCCGGCCAAGAGCGCATTGCAGGAGCTTGTGAACCATATAGCCCAAAAAGTAAGCCTTTCTCGTTCCGCAACCCTCTTCCTGGGAAATGTGCGGCAAGGTTTCCTTCTGGAGGATATCCTTGGCGGCCCGAATACGCTTATCCCTGGCCATGCCCATGGTCTGATTACCACGCTTGCCAATGAAGTCAAGAGCGACTTCTTGGTCCTGGATGCAGAAGGCTTCTTCGATGCAAGGACGCAGCATTTCCAGCATTTGGTTATCATTTCTGTCATAGCAAATTGTGTTGAGAATCTCTTCGTCAGCCACAACACCCAAGGCTCTGAAGATGATACCAATGGGGACATCGGATTTCACATAGGGCAGGGTGGAATGTATCGTCTGGCCATAACCTCCTTTGGTGGTGTCACCCTTGGTGCACAATTTGAGCATCAGTGAAGAAATGAGGCGTGATCCCTTTTCTAGTGCGCTTCGAATCTCAGCGGTGTAAGAGAAAGGGCTGGGTTGAGCCTTCTTGAAGACTTGCACGATATTGGCGGCAGAGCGCTCTTGGGCAATCAAGACTTTCTCGCTGCCATTGATGATGAAATAACCACCTTGGTCGAAGGGACACTCGTTCAGCAAGAAAAGATCGTCTTCTGATTCGCGACTGAGATGGCAGGCATTGGATTTGACCATGACAGGAAGCTTGCCGATGAAAAGATTGTCGGGACCGTCATTATCGGAGCCCGCCTTGACCTTGAGAATGTTATCTTCTTCTTCCCAGACGTTGCGGACAGGATGAATGCCGGAATTAGAGTATTCGGTTTGCTCCTCGTCTGTCAACTCGTGGAGAGGGATGGGTTCCTCGTAGCAGACAGAGACCTTGCTGCTGACCTTGGCGTAGATGGGACTGGCATAGGTCATGTTGCGATCACGGCACTCGTAAGGCAGCAGGGGGCTGGAGGTGCCTTCGGATTCGGAAACAACAGGGCGAGAAATGGTAACGTTGCCAAACTTGATCTCGTAGCGGCGGCAGAGCAGGGTGCGGCCATCATCGTTGGGCGGGTTATTTTGGTCGATGCTGAGGTGGCTGTACTCATCGAGGAGCTCTTGTATGGTGGATGCTTGGAAGTCGTTGAAGGAGTCAATCTGTTGAGAGACGAGACCTTTTGTGTCGAAGTAAGAGCCTATGACGGTCCAGCAGTCCTCAGGCGTGATGTTGCTGTCATCGCCGTATTCCTCCTCGTACTCGTAACCCTCCTCATATTCGTCGACGGCATCCATGGCGGATGGCGCGGGACCTACGATGGTCCGGATATGGTGTTGCTATTGAATGAGTGGAAGGGTTTGTATCAAGATGGAGACGGAAATAGCGGATAGGGCGTTGATGTCAAGAACGAGTGGCGACGGTGGAGGAATACAAAGAGACCCAAAACTGAAGGTGAAGGGATGAAGCACAGGCGGCAGGTGGGAGCGGTCGAGACGCCAGTGCCAACTCGATATCTAGTGTCGTCGCTCACTAGGGCGGAAGTCAGCACTCCAAAACAAACAAAAAGGGCGTCGTGTTCATGGCGACGCAGAGATTTGATTGAAACAGCTGGAGGCCAAGACACTCACGCGCAAAGGACCAGGGGCAAGTGGCTCGGGTGGAAACCTATGCGCGAGTTGATTGTCGATCGCCTCTCCCAGTATTCAAGAGGGGATGGATGATGGAGGGGGGAAGGAAGGAAGGGAAAGAGGATGAGAGATGCGACGAGCGGGTTGTGAAGATGATGCTAGAGAGGGAGAGCCTCCTTCAAAGAATGGCAATCGCGCTCCTCAAGTCTGGCGTTCAAGGCCAATGAAAAAAGAGTGGGTACACTGCACCAAATAGGGATTAGGTTAGTATTGATTAGTCATTGTGGAAGAAGAGATACGCCACAAACATGCCACGCAGCCTCAGCCATCACAGATGGAAACTAACATGACAATCAATAAGCGGCATGCCAACCATCCCAACCAAGTGAGATTGGTATAGTGGTTATTACTCCACGTTGTGGTCATTGATCTTGATTATGTAAAACCGTGGTAACCCGTGTTCGATTCACGGATCTCACAAGTTTTTTGCCTAGTTTTCCTTACACTGCCCAACTTGAATCTTCCTGACTTAAAAAAGGTCTCAAAAAGAATTTTTGTATTTTTTGTATTTTTATGTTGTTCTTTTCAATGGACAAGCCAGAGCAATTGGCAGACCCACTTCTCAAGTGGTAGTAGACCTATGCTATCGTTCCCAAGGTTTATGAACACGGCGGGGAGTACACCGTAGTAGCGTGATAGTCGTCTGATAGGTGTTGTAAGCTGGCTGGTTGAGACAACGAAAGTGCCCGTTAATCAACTAAGCAATAATTTCGAACATGCAATGATCAAGGAAAGTACTGCGCGAATCAGGCATGACCTTCATAATCAGCTGCCACTAAATGAATGGAGCGATCCTCATACGCTTCTTTCTAGCTTTGTCCACCGGAACGGATCGTGCCGCATGCCACAGCGGCACAGCAACACGGCGGAATTGGGAATGAACCCATTTATAATATCACCTCCCATTCATTGGCAAGAGCCCAACAGCTCGGAGCTGATCAAGACAAGAATCCCTTTAATTGACGAAGATGTTGTGGTTTCTGATAGCCGTCAAGGACTTCAAATTCAGATCTTTGTCGCCTTGATACGCTGCATCCCCTGCAGTGAATGGAAACTTGAACAGAATACTTGAAAAGCGCCAAAGGGAGAATTCATTACTACGAGGATTACCTACCTGACCTAGCATACATAGAACTATTCTTAAACTACCTGACTCTCAAAAACTAATTTTCAACACTTCAACAAACATGATCGGGCGCAACGTCGCCATCGGGCATCTTCCTCACCCAAACTTCGTGAATTGGATCACCATGGTTGGCGACACATTCCCACTCGCCAATGCCGTACTTCTCAGGAGCCACGCGCACTCCTCTTCCTCCACCCCCGATGATAAGATTACCAGGGCGGTATTGAGGATCTTCTTTCAGTCTGCGAATCACAGATCCATGGATACGAGCCGTGTTGGGAATGTCGCGCGTCTCGCCGCCGGGCAGAGGCCAGCGGATCGGCTTCCACGACCCATCCGGTCGCAGATCCATTCTCCTGAACGGTAGGTATTCCATGATTTTCCAGCTGATGACTTGTCCCTTGCCAAGACCCGATGAGTATTCAAGTGAGTCATGAATGCGAGCGACATGGGCCTGGCGCAACATGTCGTGATAAGGCCTTGACCAGGCTTGGCTCTCTTTACCGTCCTTATTCATCTCGAAATGATCCCATTTGTCCGTGCCGCCACCGTTCGCTGTCGGTGACGTAGCTGTGGGAGTCGGGCTTGAGACATCGATTCGAATGTCTGGAACAGGTCCATTCTCACCGATTCCTGCTCCAGGTGCATCATCACCCTCATCTCCGCCACAATTAGCCAGCGCCTCCGACACACCCATCTCGATCAACTTCTCAAGGTCGAAAGTGAGACCGGCTTTCTCGGCCTCTTTGATCATGTAGACTAGGGGAATGTGGCTCGTTGACTTGAGGCCAGGGACAAACTCCCATCCACCACCGACGTCAGCGTGACCACCAGCGAACCTATGATAGCAATATGAGTAACGGAAGAAGAGATGTCTGTCTTATCAGTCATTTCGAACATACCAGAGTTCATCAATGTCTTGCTCGTCATCAGATTCATCGTCATCGTCGCCTCGTGAAACCTCGGACGCAGTGGACGCAGTATCCCGGCGAGAGCTCCTAGTCGCCCTGGATCTAGATCGAGAACTGGGACGGAAAGTATGCTCCGTGGGCACCGCAAGACTTTCTTGTCTACCACGACCAGCGTCGTCGGTTTTGTTCATAGCAGATGAGCGGCGAGCCCGATATTTCTTATGAAGGTCATGTAAGGCCCGGCTGCGTTGACGCTGCTCCGGTTTCTTCTGGTACATCAGGTCTTGTCGAAACTTGGCGCGGCGCTCATCGATTGACACGCAGTGGCGGATGACCTGAATAATTAGAGATCAGCGATTCAACAGTGATAAGCATGCTTACCTTCGCGCTACTGTTCGCAGTGTAGGGGAATTTGGATCTTTGCATCCACGCCGTTTCGAATCTGGGCACCGAGTTGACAGTATCGAACAAACCCAAGAATCTGATTCGGTCAATTGGGCGGCTGAACGTCTCACGGAAACCCTTCAAGAAACGGTATTGTTCCTGTCGTTTCTCAATTCCTGCCGGCGAATCATCCTGATGTCTAGACTGCCATCGCGAAAATGCCTTCCAGGCGAAGTGTATCATCTCCTCATTGCCGTGCGAGAGAAGACCAACATAGTCAAGCATTTCAGCTAAAAACCTAGCCACTGTGAATAGTTTATGAGTATCTCAATTGCGCACGTCAAATTGAGGGAGTTGCATACCATATGCGCCTCTGGAGAATCCAAAGAAGTAGATCTCATCGCCCGGATTATAGAATCGCATGAGAAAGCGGTAGCCACCAACGACATGCTGATCAAAGCTGGATCCAACGGCAGAATCCTTCGCTTTCAGGTACCATGATCGAATGCGAGCAGTCAGACTCGTGTGCGACAGTGAAGTTGAGACAATGTAAGTGCCGATACCGGGCTGGTAGTAGTGGTCTTGAACACAACATGTCAGCGCGAACTCCTGCAAGCCCATCCATCAACACCCTCAGCATGATACTCACATTGATCACCAGCCTCACGATCCAGACACCTGAATATCTTCAAAATATTACTATCGCTATCGTCTCCAACAAATTTGTTTCCTGTGCCGTCAAAGCACAGAACAAGCTTGCGCACCCCTCGATCTTGCTCGTGAGTTGGGCGATTCATTGGCGCGAAGTGGACGTGGTCGTGCGTTTCGGTGTGACTTCCTCGTGAGCTGGCACGCCCTCTGGGTACCTCGGTGGTTAAATGAGGAGTGTTCATCATGGATTTCCCGAAGACAGCTTTTGACTCTGTTTTAATGATGCACCTAGAAGCAGCAGTGTAACCCTTTTCTTACAATAGATGGTGATGATGTGCTACCCTTCATGTAACCTTGCCGGATATGCGGATATAAACTTGACTATCTTCGAATGGGACGGGACACGGGAAAATAATAGGTACGAAGTAGAATAGCCTGCATCATGGCTTCGACAGGAAGCTCTACTTCCCATGTGCATGGGGCTTCACGTTCATTGGCGGCTTAACACTCAAATCTGTCTCACCCAAAGCTACGAGCTATCTTCAACCTATGCCGGCGACGGACAACGCACTGTGAACTCTTACCGCCAAGAGCCATTCCCGAGTAAGAAAGGCTATCCTGACATAGCTTTCCATTCACTGTAGGGAGCCAGACGCCAACCTGCAAGGAATCAAATAGGGCATAGCGGCTTCAGGTTGAGGAAGACGATGGTTGGACGACAACTCATACACAACAAGTCCGAACCTCATTGACGAATAGCAGTCATGTTCGGTACTGCAGACACGATCCTAGCTGCAGAAGTTGGAATGTTCTCGCGATAGGAAGGTGGGAAGGTCCCATATCCAATTACTAGCTCGATGAGACAATATGAAGCTGAGAGGTACAAATTTTTGCACATCCGCATGTGGCACCCAGCACACGATCACGGAGGAACCGGATAGACTCGATACCGGTGGCAAGCGTACGGAGGAAGGAGTACCAAACTACTGCCGGCTTCCAATAGGCTGCTCGATGTACATGATACGGCAGATAGTACCGGATCTTCCAATTAATTACTGCTCAATGCCTAAGCGAGGACAAGAACAACTCTGTCTGGACCAGGAAAAAAGAAGGGAAAGTTCTAACCTTACCGGCCAAGAGCTGAGCAGCCGATACGGGAAGTTGACACTGGTGATCAGTCATAAAATATCGATTAATTAATGAGACAGCATATGATCTTCACAAGGACATCCCCTTGATCCCTGTCAATCAAAATCCCCAAAAAAGCGCGCCGAATGCGAGCCGAACAAGCGGCCCGCACCCATAAAACTTCACTTCGTCATGAATCTTCATTAGAAACGGTGAGAATACCCTGACGCCGATGGACGTCAACCCATGGATAGTGCCGTCGATCACTCATAGCCCCCAGTCCATCGGCGGGTCACTATCTATACCCTTTGGAGGTTAGACACCTGTCAGTCGCCGAACAACCCTCATGGTGGAGCCTCTTAAAGCCATTTGAGTAATGAGCTCTCCCTATTCGTAAGATGAAAACTTCCCGAGCGGCCTGGCGAAGGGGTTTTCAGCCGCCCACTTTCTGCACACTCGTTGCCTATCAGAGAAAGATGCTTCCTGAATAGGATTCCCCCGCTTAGCTGCAGCATTATCGGGATTCATTGGCCAATCTGAAGACGGTATGGCTAATTGAGCGACATGGAATGACACGACGTTCGACTCGGAAGCTCAGGAGGGAAAAGAAAAAAATTGGGGACAATCAGGACGACACAACACAGTATTGCCGTCCACCAGTAGTATAGGGATGGGGCGTCTGTGTCTTGGAATTGCCGTCCTCACCCTCAAGCCATCATTCAGAGATTATACTCTTCTGAAAAGGCTGTATATTTGTCATTTCAGGGACCAAGGTGAGCTTCGAGGGGGGTGGCAGCTGACAGTGGACACTCCCATAAGTCTGGGACAACTCGACCTCGTGCGAGCAAGAGCTACATGATGATGAGGGTATGCATGCCCCAAAGCACAAAGAGATGAGATTGACAACCCCGCTCATGGCTAGCTCAGCTGCGGTGTCTTGCAGTCTCGAACACGCACGTCCGTCTCGTACACTGTCTTGTATTTGTGAAAAGTCTGCATTGGTCTCTGCAACTAGCGCGGACTTGTGGCATCATGAATCGTCCAGTAATATCAGGCTCATCATAGCTATTGGCGATAAGGGACTGACGACGTGGGGACCTCAGTTTCCGTAATGACGGCTGCTCTAAGGACCAACTACCGGGGGAATGCCGTGTTTAAAATCGTGTTGTGTCACGTTGCGTAGCCTGTACTTCTCCCTCTTGACCGGGCCTATATCCTCC